GTTTCGGTCAAAAAAAATTATTTCCTCGCTTAAAATGCACTTGTAAAGATGGGTTCAGGTGAATTTTGCATTTTTTGAAATACGCCAGGAGTTTCAGGCGTAGAGCACGTTTTTCAACCTTTGCTTTCATTCTATACTGCTTTAAAAGCTTTGAAATTTATATGCACATTTATGCGAAAATTTGCTCTCAAAAAAGCAGGTTTGAAAAATTGCTTCATGGAAAACTCCAAGGATGAATTCAAAAGAACCTTACCGAATGTGGTATCAGAGTGATCGTTGTTTTAGGTTGAGTTTGAAAATGTTGGCTGTAAAATAGCTTCTTCTTGTTCTTACGTCTTTGTTTTTCGGATCGCTCCACTTTGCTATATGGGGGCAATTTGTGGAGTCTCTCTCGATAATTCATAACCTCAGGTAATTTAGCCCACAAATTCCTCGGTAAAAATTCATTTGACGCCAAATGCACATGTCCTGATAGAGTATTTCAAAAGAAATCGGATGTGTTAAACTTTAAGAAATTCTGTTTAGTAACGTAGTTGTGGAGAAAATACGAAAACGCGGATCCGCGTTTTTTTTTGTTTTTTGACGAATAATTACCGCGGTTACTGTATAATCACGTGACCTGATGCAACATGCTTACTTGTTTGTTACGTTAAAAATTGCAAACCATCCTTATGATTCAACTAACTCACCTCGGCAGCATTCGCCCAAGTAGGATATCAGCTTTCTTCTTTTCTTCAATGAGAGACCGTTCTTCAACCTGTAATGTCACTTCTTAACAATTTTGCTTAGCTTTCTTGATCACATACACTAGAGAGATAGCAGATTGCCAAAGCACTGGCGAATTAGTTCATTCGCAGTATATGTGCGATGCCAAATGACTTTCTTGAAAGAGTGCTGAGGAAATCGCGAAGAACCTGCCACAAATTATTGAGTTCAACTCAAAAGTAGGATTCACCACTATGATCAAGATTTATTTTAAGAATAATTGCCTAACAGTATTTAAGCATTATGTTGACATCAATTACAAGTTAGCGTCTCAATCGTTATTCTTAGTTAGTGATATTGATAGTCCCATCCTTTTGTTTAGGTATATCTGCGTGCTGCCACGGACACATGAGAAGAAGGCCAATATATGTTCTTGCTCATAGAAACCCATATAGCTCTCTCATACCTTGAACTACAAACAGATGTCGGCATTTTGTATTAGAGCAAAAGAACATCTACATTCCGCTGACCTCCTGTTCAAGTGAAATCGTATGCTCCTTCAATATAGCAAAAACGTGATCCATGGGTTCGCATATTTAGCAGCTTTCATAATTCTTCTCATTTGTTCGCATATCAAATCGGTTGATGGACGATGGAGGCTCCCTCCAGCAGCTCCGCACCAAGGTGATCTAAAGTTCAAAAAACAGCTTACTGCAACCTCTAAACATCCCGTTGCCCAAGTCACCAATTCAGCTGGTAAATCCAGCATGTCGAGCTGAAGTGTTGGACGCGTTAGCACAGCATTTCCCTTCTTAATTCTTATGAAGATATCTGAAAGGTGTACATGCATCGAGAGCATTGGTAATGAAGCCAGAGGTGCAGAGGCAAAACGTAAAGTTTTGTATTGCTGTACTATTATCCTATTGAGTGCTATGTTTCTAGCCATATACCGTATTAACATTCAACTATAGAGATTCAACCGGTCTCCTTTTGATAGAAAGCAATCAGGAGATATTACTTCGAGCACAAAACAATTTAGTGCTTTCAAAACACAACAAATGTCATAAAACATGCTTATATATGTCTTGATAAATGACAAGTAACTTTATTTCAGAAGAAACCCAGCAAAGTTGGCTATAGGCATGGTGGAAACATAGCGAAAAAAATTTTGTTCTGTTTTCCATGGTTTTGTGTACCTAAAAAGAATGTATCAACTTCTGACGCACTGAATACTGTATATACTATACTACTATAACGGCGTTTAACTCTCAGTGAAGGTGTGAGCGAAAAAGGGAAAAGAAAGTGAAAGCCCTAAAACTTTTTCGAAATCCAGCAAGTTACCCGCAACAGAGCTTCTTTTGGTTTCTTTCGAATAGTGGTAACAGAGCATCTCAGGAAGAAGATAAGGGAAACACCAATAGGAATGAGCGTGCTCCTTTTTGCTCGGAGCTAACTGAATTGTTTTCAAACTAAATCAATATTTTGCCAATATTTTTACATAATATTGAGAGGAGTTAGATCATTTTATCATTGCAATTACTTTTTTTTAATACATCTTCAATTTAGGAGGCAGGAGAGGGAAGAGGGACGCGCGGAAAGGGGTAAGAGAAGGGAGGGCGAAGTCGGGTGCCCTTGTCTCAGCCCTTCTTTTTGAGATAATCTCAGACTCTTTACTCTTCAACTTCATTGACAAAGATAGCATGAGCCTAATTTCTAGGTAAGTGTGTTTACTTCGAAGCACGCATGCATGTTCCGCAGATTCCGCAGATTAGACAGCATTTTTGCTACATAACAAATCTATAGCTCTATAAAGAGTGTCGTCGGTGTTTATTGAGTTTGAAAGAAGATAATTTTAACAGAATACATTTATGCAAAGTATCATACTTTTTCTACCGATAGAAGTAC